TCAACTTTTTTTTTTTTTATTATAGACACTAAAATACTAAATTATTTATTATGATCTATGGACAACATCAAATGATTATGTAATGTGATAATATCTAATAACTTAAAAATTAAAATCCAAAAAAGTTATAAAATCTAAGAATTAAAAAATCAATATTTTCGTCATTCTGTTAAATACTTAGACATCTACTACCGCATATATAATATGAATAGAAATTTAATTCCATTATCAGTGCTATGAATGTTATAGATTTAAAAATGTGAATATATTATGAACATAATTTAAAAATCACTTTGTTCTACTGCAACATAGTAGAAATAATTCTAATGACAGTGTTTCATCTGCGCAATTGACATTTTGTGGTTGTACTAAGTTCAAATGCAATTAGGTATTGTTTAAATATAACCCATTAAATTGTATTTTTGCACATAATTCGGACACACGACCGSATATATAAAAATGTATTAATGGCAAATTTAACTAGATTTTATAAATAACTTGTGTTTATTTTTACAGATTTTTAATATATAGTTATTTAAGTCCAAAGTTTTATTTCATTTGTGTAGCTAAACTGTGACGTTATATTTTCTTTGACATCAACCCGCGATCATTATACAAAGGCAAATTTTTCTCGACATATATTATTATGTAGACATATTAATACAAGTCTTAGTTCATCCTTCATCGTTATAGCAATACGACGATTTTATTACGCGTAAGTACATTTAAATGAACTTCGAATTGAGTTGCACAACAATATTATTTTTTTGCTGTTTTTTAAGCATGTCTCTTCCCACGCGACTGTCCGCCCAATGGTAATTACGTCATTGCAGTGCACGAGCGTGTTAGTTTTATTTTCGACCCATCACCCTATCCGGAAGGGATCTGGAAACTSAAAACGGCCAATTTACGAGACCGAACCGAAACGTTAAATTACATTTTTATCAAATTACTAGTCTCAACTTTATATTTAATAACATTTTAGGTGTATAAAATAGGTACAAACGTGCAAGCGCATGAAACAGTGGACGTCATAAATGTATATTACGCTTTCAGAATAAGCTTTTTAATCTCTGGCTGTAGACAAAAAATAGAACTTCAAACATATAATCATTGCAAGAGGCCATGATGAATTAAATGATGATATTTGGCTTATTGAAATTAAATATAGTCAAGTGCCTAATCCCATTTTAAAAATAATCATAATACATTTGATCTATGCAGTTGTAAATGTAAAACGATAATTGCGATACCAAAATGATTTTAAAAAAAGTATTTTTTATAAGAGTATAAATGTTCTACCTACGTGAAAGTATACAATAAGTACAGATGTACAATGTTTATAAATATGTATATGACGTATTGGTACCAAAATCGTGATACATCTAGGTACCTATACTGCAATAGAAAATAGTTCATTGCATAGATTCGGTATGATATTATAGGTACATAATATATAGGTATGCATATAAGATAATTGTGGGTATACTAAACAGATAGAAAAATAATAATTGAGTATATTTTTTTGGAGAAAAAGCTAATAAGGCAGTTTAATCTATACGATACCATATTATTTATTATGTATATCTATTATTATATAAAGTATATATATTATATATTGGTACACATCCGTTAACCATATGAAGTACGAACAGTATAACTAATTTTAAACATAATGTAAGTTAAATATTAAGGTAAACACGTCATATATGGAACGAAAATTGAAGACAATAAGGTTTATTGCTTCTAGTTAGAAATAAATCTGAAATGAACTTCTCAAGAACTGAAATTTAATATACATTATATATATTAAGGTTAAATTTTGTAGCACTAATAAGGAAGTGGGTTACATGGCATCAATTTTCGGTACGAATAAAAGCGAGTAAAAAGCGATATAAATAATGTCAAAAATGAACTAAAAAGTGCATTAAAATTGGCTATTGTTGCTAAGAAACGCTAAAAACCGCACAACAAACCTGGTTGAGTACAAAATAGTATTATATCATTAATTATTGTTGTGGTTAATTAGACTTGTGTTATATAGGTAATTATTTCCATAAAACAGCTGCATAGATTAGAATATGAACTTATTCGCGTCGTATAAGGATCTATATTTAATTTATTTTTATAATAGGTATGTGTTTCCGTTTTTAATTTTAAACTATTTCCGTTTTTTCTCAAACTTGTCGATATAAATCAAATATACTAGTCATTATATTATATTTGATATTTTAGCAAAGATTTTAGATTATAGTTTTTAAACAAAGTTTAAATAATTCTATGATTAAATACTTATATGTAAGATGAGGTACCTATAATCTACACACTCTTGTTTGCTCAAAAATCATTTATATTGTTGTATATTGAAATACAAAATTAAGTATTTTACTAAATTTAATTGTCGTATATATAATTAATTAAAGGTAATTTTAGAAATTGTTTTTTATTTTGTTCGTACTGTTCATTTATATAAAGTAAAAATATTTAGGAATTGGTTTTTAAAAAAAATGTTGATACCTAGATATAATCTATATAATATATAACATATGGTTATTTAGTATTGGTATCTATACGATATCGATATTAAAATTTTACTTATGTTAAAGTAGTAATGCTATACTAAATGTTACCTAGTTATAAATGTTTAAAATATCTACAACAGGTTTTAAGTCCAATCAACATAAATCATTAATATATATATATACTATTAACATTTCAAAATAGGTAGGTATGTGGCCGTGGGTTTCTGAGGAGAATATAAGTAAAAAAATAAAAAAATAAAAATATAAATAAACGTAAGTAAAAAGATGGTTTAATCAATTATTATTTATTACTAAACCCACGTTATTCCATTTATGTTATTTTAGCTTTATTAGAGAGTTAAACATATTCATTGCAAAGAATTTAATTTTACTACTATGAATAATTTTAGCATGATAGTTTTAACTTTCTAACATATAAAGGTTTACAAGATTTCATAACACAATTGATACATATTCAACTCAAAATTCGATGAAAGTTTTATATTAACTTCTTGAATTCGCTCTCCACTATATTATACTTAGACACTTAGTCGTTGATAAACAATGGTGATTAAATATTAATGAATTAAAAAAAGAATTCTAAAAATCTCACGTTTTTATGATAGTATTCTATGAATTAAGTTTTAAGTTTAAAATATAAAACCGTAATTATAAAATTTGATTTTAAATTAACTCGACTGAAACTCGTTGTTTATTTTGCTACTCAAATGTTTAAACAAGTAAAAATTAAAATAATTATACGTAAAACACGACTTGATGATTATTCACGAAATATCAATTATTCCAAACATAATGGTAATATTATGTATATAACTCTAATTACATTTCACGAAACCTTTAATGTTTTGTTTGATGGTTAGATTTCAATTGATTTCGATTATTCTGTGATTTATTAAAAAAAAAAACCCTGTATTTAGTATTCGGAAAATCATCAATTTATTAGCTTGTGACACCAATACAAATTTTAAAATAAGCCTCCGAAGGTTGTGTATTGTATTGAAGAAAATAATAGTATAAGTAATTGATGTCTTATTCTGCCACGACTTGCCCAATGCTCAATAATTCTTCTTTTGTAGTGACAATAATAAATGTATGAATATTATTTAAATAGCCGATTGTCGATCTTAATATAAATAAATATTTTATAAACGCACAGGTATACGATTAGTATTGAGTATAACAAGAATAAGTTTGTGGTATATATATTTGAATTATTGCATAAATTATATACTTAACGCATCTAATTTCTTATGGTAATGTTACTAATCTATAGACTATTGACTAAAGGCAACGTTCCTACGTATATGGTACTTATCAAGGATACATAATATATGATAATAATTTTTGACGCGTATTAAGAAAGTTTAAATTTAAGCTCCGATAGTATTTACTATCGCCTCGAGTTCTTTGACCATCGGAGGTGGATACGATGTGTATATATATTATATATTACACAGTATCGATTCCATTTAATAGCAATGTAGGTATTGTATTATGATCGTCTTGGATTTTATTTATTTTTTCAATATTTTTATACTTAGGTATACACCCATTATTTTAAATAAAATGTTATTATGCTCCACTAGCTCCACTAAGCCGATCAAAAAAAAAAACAAAAAAATAAGAATATTAGGTATCCCGTCACACTTGTATATTAAAAGTAGCACTGCGGAATTCTACACATAGACTTATAATAGTAATAACAACTTATTATAAGCTTATGGTTCTACATGTCGTCGCAATATTCCGATTGACAGTTTTGAGTTTTTATTAAACTCATAACCATAAGACACAATCGTGAGAATAATCATTACATTATTTACGACTCGAGTTTAAAACACGCACGGAGTAAGACCGTTCTCTTTCATTCGTCTGCATAGTATTATAATATTATATAGGTGTACATATTTTAATGTCGTTGACGCGTATTTATCGCACCGCGCCATATATAATAGGTAGTATACTACAGATTGTATAATTTCTTTTGTTAGTAAATTTAAAAGAACGAGAAGAAAACGTGGAAAGAAATACGGAAACCGTAATAGCAGCCAGCTCACAACAGACAACACTTTTTGTTAGAAGACGAACTATTACTCGTGTGTCCCTCGTCGAGTACTCATACCTTCCTTTGCGTGTATATTATAATTATTATTACTATTGATCACGAAACGCCGTGACCTGGTCAGATAAGAAAATTCGGTCACAATAACCACGCCCGGGTACTCCGGTTAATTTTGTTATTATTTTTTTACTATTATTGTTGTTATTTATTTATATAAATATTTTTTCACCAACATCATTCAGTTTACTTTAGAAAATAATGTTAATCTTGTTTACGTAGTGACGTGACCATAAAAATACGAGGCTATACAATCGGAGATGATTATCTATACCTATTGTTTTCAATAAACAGTTTTAAATATATTATATAATATTATTATTATGTTTGGTTTTCAGAGTTTCGTTCGGCAGTTCAAAAGGATCTATGGTTGAGACATTGATATACGATAGCCCTCCTGTCCAAGAAGATACATTGGATATAAGTGATATCGACGACTCTGACGGGTAAGTTTAATTTTGATTATTACTCGTATTTGAAATTTACTCTAAATAAATGTTATAAATATTAGGAAATTATTTAATTATCCTGGAAAATTAAATCAATCTTTGTTTATCACACAATCTGTGGAAATAACGATAGTTCAGTGTTCTGCTCTATCACAATTATTTAACTAAAAAGGGAATGGTTTTTGAAAAATCTAAGTATAAAGACACATTCAGGGCTAATCGTAATAATCGTATAGACCATAGAAAAAATGTTAAAAGAAACATTTTTCTTGTTCGTGCATGTAAAAACTGTAAAATTAGGGGAAATACTTAGAAAATATTAGGCGTCTCTAGGGACCTTTTAACAATAATCGTTGTATTCCCCTTTGAAAATAAGTTTAATGTTCTTGATGTCTATAAAAAGCTCTTATTCTCGGAAATGTACCTGCAGTCGATTAAGTTGTATTAATTACTTAATTTTAACGTAAATGGGATTCAAAATATTTTTGCAACGGATATTAGCGAAACAAATATTTATCGTTTGTAAGCAATGTATTTCAATATATATTTCAAATATCATAATAATTACTACGTTATATACTACCGTACAATTACTTAACGGGAAACAAGGAAATCTAAACAAAAATATGAAATTTATTTCATTTAAACTTGCTTAGGTGTTTCTTGTCGACTTATTGCTCTAAACTTTGTATTTCATACATTCATTTAGGTAGTTTTTTTTTAAATTTATGTAAAAGCTGTAAACAAGTTAAGTCATTAATATATATTTTATTACTGTAGTATATATTCAACATTTAAACTCTCCTCCATTGGTTAACCTTTAATGGTAAATATACAATTAAAATTATTTAATGATATTCAATTTATTTTAATTATTTTTTGTCGTGCTTTTCATTCAATTACCCATTACACGCGAACAATTAGACTTAATAACATTTTATTAAATGTGATAAATACGGCTATTTCTGCAATACTAATCCATATTTWTATTGATGTTGGTGAGATTATAGTATTATCAAAAGAAAATAATGCTTTTACATTGTTAAAAAATGTAATACAGATAATGAATTAAATTCATAACATTTTGTCTAACACAAACCTTAATCAATTAAATACATAATATATTGATAAGATAAATTGCAAGTGTTTAATCATCTTTTGAATAAATATATTATTATCATTAAAAATGATTACCTGTGTGTACAAATACATTCCCTATAAATAGCCGCAATGCTCATTATACTGCATGCGTTTCACTTTATATTTATGGTTAGGTATTTAATGTACGTTTTGAAATGATTCGCAAAACTAAACGTATAGGTACAAATTGATATAACATAATGTAATCTTTATCTATATAATATTAGGTAAGTTATTTTATCGATAGCGCAATGTAATGTTGTGATTAAAAAAAAATTGGCTATCGAGCTGGTTTTATGCGTGCATTGAAAATAGACATAAATATAACATGCAACTGACCATCCACTTACTAAAAATTAAAAATCTAATTACCATAGTTTTTTACGTGCAATTTGTTATTCAAACGTTCAGGTATAAACTATTCTACATTTAACAACCTAAATAATTACTTTTTTTTTAACTGAAAACTGAAGTTAATATAATTTTTTTTAATTATCTATTATTATTATAAGTCCGTTAAGACCATCTTACTATATACCATAATACCCTAATCCTCTCGTCTCTATTCTTATTATGTTAGTATACTAAAATAGCCAATTGAACCAGTTTTTAAACATGGTTAAAATAATATTTAGGTACAATATTTACCTACATATTTGACTAAATAATATGTGAGTATAATATAAAAATAATAATCCTAAAAAATGAATATTTTAGTAAAATATTTGATTTAGAATTCTTCATATTTAGATAAAATATTATACACAACATTTTTAAATATTTTTGTATTTTATATGATAATAATCAGTGTACCTAGGTTTGTTTAGATTATGTTTTAATTTAAACTAATATTGCATTATAAAATCCATTCATAGTTCATTAAAAACTTCGTGCATTATCCTATTATATCTAGTACCATTTAGGGAAGACCACCCACTTAGTGAGCGGACGTGCTTTAGTTTGTACCGAGAAAAAATGGTGAACAATTATCATACTTGAAATGCCCTTTTATGCTATTAATAATGAAAAAAAAAACTTTAATATAATGCGTCAAATAAAATAATTTTAACTTTAAAGCGATATGTGTACGTAAGAACGATTTAGCGTGACAGAGAAACAATAACAATAGGTTAACAACAATAAGTTCGTTGCGTTTTGGTCGATCGAAATCGTCGTCCGTTGCACATCAGTACATCACTCTCGAAAAAGTGCAACAGGGCAGTAGTGCGAAACACTCGTTGTGAGCGATGACGGTTTACACACGTGCGAGAATTTAATATTATTATACGTAATTATAAATAATAATAAAGTATACAAAGCAAGTCGAATATTGGCCGACAACGCCGAATAGTGCGGCGCCCGTCGGAGTGGCAACACTGTGGGCCGGTGGCAGCCGCCGAATCCTCTGGTTCTCTCCCCGGTCCCGTCCCTCACGACAATCGCACCAGTGATGCCTAGCCGTTATTCGTGGTGCGCGTACGCCATTCATAACCGACTCCCGTGCAGCAGTCGTGCTGACAGCCGATAGTGACGACGACCTCAACAATAGTACATCTGATGCACTCGGCTATTGTCATCGTCTACTCCGGATAACCGCCGTTCCGCGATCGTTTTTCATATTCCGCGCGCCTAGAAGTCTACGATCGTTTTTCTTCATTATCATCGTTACGTATTTTTTTTGTTAATATTATTGTTATTAAAAATTATTTAAGATCGCTCGCGTCTTTTGTGAGCTCTTTCGGCTGGTCACGCCCACGATYCSCACGAATCAATACGACGACCGCGGGATAGCGCCACCGAGGAATCCCGTGACCACCATATAGGTGAGTGTGTTGTTGTTTGTGTTTTGGGTCGGTTTGTTTACGTTTATGCCGCGCGAAGAAGATCCCTTTGAGCAGCCGCCGCCGGACTCCCGTGACGCACGACCGTTACGCAGCGGCGTACACGGAATGGGGTGGGAAGGGTTGTATTYACAAAAAATATGTATTATTAACATTTTATCGGATTAATACATTATAACGTTTTTATATTATATTGAACAAATAAGCCTTAAGTGGGTTTTAAACAACCCTCAGCCACAGTATTATACGACACTTTGGTGTGAGGGTTACGAAAGTGTCGATGCGATAATTATTACGGTGATGATGTCATTAGGAAGCCGGTTCGACCGGTTTACGCGCAAGCTATAATAATATACTATATAGTAAGCGTTATTTAACAACCTTGCGAGCGAAACACATACCTAGTACAGTAGTACCTACCCACATATTATTATTATCAGCTGCAATATGCAAAAAGCAAAAGTCCCGTAAATGGAAACATACTTTCACCTCGCATCCTACCTAGCTATACCTATGCCGAAGACAAATCGAAAAAAGGTCCGACGCGATAACTCGCCAAACGGGAATTGTTTTTCAATTGGGTCGAATTTTGGCGCGCAAACAGCACGGCCGCCTTGTTTTCGTATGGATTTAGATGCACAAATCGGTTTTACAACTTTTCACGGCGTGTGTGCGCGCCGCCGTGAGGCACGTACCGCGTAACAGTCGACAAGGTCAAATTCCTAGTGTTCTACAGCCAGCCTCGCGTTTATTATTACCGTATAATATTTATATGACTCGTGTTGTTCTATTCTGTCTGTATGTTAATTAACCTCCACCAGTGAGCTCTGACGATTATGCCGCCTAAACCGTCCGCCCGACACAAATACCCATTTAATAGTAGTTATGATCAGCCCACGCCGACGCAGCCGTATGGCTTAACAATTACTATTATACTATACATTGAGCTCTGCACTCATTAAACAAAATGTATATAATATTAAATACTGACAATCGCATTTTCCGCTGGAAGTTTAGTATTAAATTGTTCGCGTGAATATCATTCCGAAATTACGATATAGAGACAGGGTTTATAGTTAAGTCTTATTCCGTTAAAATGTGGTGCGATCGCCACTGTCGAGGGCCATGTGGTAGCGATTCACCGTTCCGTTATGCTCTGGAGACCTTGGAGGCACATTCGTGTGGTTTTGGACGAGGTCCAATTTGGATACGGTCCATTTGAATTTTTTTTAAATCGTGTTTATTCTCGCATTTCCTCCGGACGTCATCTGGAGAGAAGCGCGCACGCCTGGAGTTATAATTAGAGATGCAAATAGGTCAAACATCATAATATAATATTATAATACCCGTCAAAAACGTTGAGCCACGAGTACAATTGTTTTTCTATTTGTTTTCAGTACTGTTGCGTCCACTAAGGTCCGGGTGAGCTTTTTCGAATCCGAGAAACCGTGTGTGTTACCTTCACCGCCCAAATCATTGGAAATATTTGGCGACAGCACGATGACCACTTCAAGTCCTATTCTACAAAGGTCAAATGGCCACGTCCAAACACAGATTAGGTAAGTGAAGATAAATGTTGTATTAATGTTAGGCGGGTGTAATAGAACTCGGTCTAGTATATGAGTGTTTCGAACGTTCTAAGCGCGTTACATCATCATTGTGTACCATTATTTCAACAGAAGACAATACGTCGTGAAGTCCTGTGCAAATCCCATCATCTATTATTATAACGATTACTATTTTTATATAACAAGTGAATTCGTGGCCAATTTAAAATAGCTACCATTGTCCAGACGGTTGAACGACCCTCCCAGGGGCCTCCAATAGTATACGTGAGAAGTGTTCGCCAAACCATTTTTAAACTCGATGCTTGATATTACGCTCTAAAGTAATGACACACGACGCCCTAGACGCGGCAAAGACACGCTTTGATACGTTTTTAGTGTCTGCTGTCGAGGACATTTCGTTACGACCTCAAACAACGATTCGTTTTGCCAGAAGTCTAGTGTAGTAATATGTGSAGCTAATCATAAAATTTAGACGAAAAAAAAAACAAAAATATTATGACGCTATTTAAACGATGACAGCGACAATGMTGCTTTATTTTTAGGAGAAAAAGAATTAATTTTAATATTGATATTTAAGTATATTTTTCTAATATGGTGAGGTTTATATTTKTATGGTTTTATTGCAATATAAATCTCAATTTATTAAGTCGACAGGTACTTAGGAGCACTTATTGTGCATGGAATTTTTAAAATTACCTATATGCACAAGGAAAAAGGGTAAGAACGAATTTTATGCCGTACCATATGCCGCTTTTAATGAAATTAAACTTCTCAAGTATTCAATACAATTTTGCGTTTAAATCATTCTTTGACTAAGTAATTTAAATTATCTTTCGAAGTTAATTTTCAAATTTAATGGAATCTTCAAATATATATATATCATACATAGRGGCATACATAATATACAAATAGCCTCTAACCATATTGGAATAGCTTTAAAAAAGTACCAAATACCCAAAAAAAATKTATAGTTCCAAATTTGCGGGCGAATAACAAATTATTCATTTKAAATTAGGTAGTTGTAATTTTTATKGTTTTCATTATTTTATTTRATATAACACCTTAATTTTAGAGCTTTTATGTACACTAGCTATCTGTAATTCTGTAAATATGTACCTATATATTGACAAAAAAAAGTTATTGATGATGTCTRGTATAAAAATGTCCATGTTAATATGATATGAATTGAATTCGAAGATGAATGAAAGAGTTTTGTTTWAGAATGATGCAACAGTCTCATACACTCCGTAGTAAAAACAGCGATATAACTAGTATGGTTAATTAACAATTATAGTAATTTGTCTAATGAACGGTGAACATAATAAACCACCCGTAGTTAAAGTGAGGTTTCATTAATGTACCCGTATAGGTCAGTAGGACATGTGGAATTTTAAAATAAGCCAGTACTATGCAAAATAGTATTGGTATTGTAATTGTTTTGGACATCGGATTGGCCTGGGTATTGATAAGGTAYTAAACGGCTGTYCGTTGTTCCGTCCTCGCGTCAACTTCCAATCACGTAGGTTGTAGGTAGTACTATAGTAGCTACACCTACGACTCGTAGGTATATTATTATTGTTATTCATATAACGTGTCAATGACGACCTGTCTGGAATRTATTGTTTATCGATAACTTTTCTCCTGACCCACTTCATATCACTATATTATTGTCTACAAAACCACATCCGAAAACGCACACATCCCTTTGGGCCTACCTACCTTCCCATATTATACGCGTCGTAAAATCTGGAAATAACACTTCCCACCTGTAATATATTTACTAACCAGCACTATGAAAACGTCCTCTCCTCTCACCAGTTSTCTCTCTCTCTCTCTCWCACACACTCTCTCCAAGGCGAACTCCACTCCACTATACTATATTATGTGATACCGACAACGAGACGCCATCATAGCACAGCGCTACGTCACCTGCTCGTTTATTGTGTACACTGTACACACACGCACACATCGCACAAGTACGCCACAACAATCGATATCCGTTGCAGCGGTGTTCGCGGGGGCGGAAAGAAGGGGAAGAGCGGAGACTAACAGCAATAGCAGCAGCC